CCCAACATAAATCTACATAAAACATCTATGATCTATAAATGCTTGTCTGAACCAGAACTCACTACTTGGAAATAATGGAAATAAATGTATGAATTAAAGTCTGTGTGTTTTATAATTAATCTGTCATTATGTGGAAACTATGCGAAGCTATGGGAAGGTGCTGGTGAGACAGAGGCTGCTGAGCTGAGTGTGCTCCAGACAGTTATTGTGAATCCATGATCTGACACCAAATCCACAAAACAGTTACACATAGGCACACATGATTGATCATGATGGGTGTAGGGTGTATCAATCATGTTCTGGCATTATTGACAGCTGGTAAAGTCATCTGTGTGCTGCTGTCACTCACTTTAATCTAGGATTGTGATAGTACAGAAAATCATGGTTTAGTGTTTACCTTTGTGACAAAGTGGGTGAGAGCACTCCACTTGTTCCTAAGATAAGTCATGTATGTTTCTTAATGCCTTAACCCGTGTGTTAAATGTTTGATTGTATTTACTAGGAGGATAAAGGAGGAGGTGGTTAATCACTTCCTCATTCTGTACGCTCTCTGATGTCATCAAAGATGTCATAGGGTTGATTGATACCAGGGGCTATTTAATCAGCTGAGGTGGAGCAGCTGGGAGTGTGGCAGTCTAAGTGTAGTGGTGTGCACGTGCCTGTAAGTTGCGTTGAGTTATTTTGAGTTGAGTTTTCTTCAGTTATGTGAAGTTAACCGTTTAGTGATTTTGTTTTGGCATGTGTACTTTGCTGGCACTTGTTTAAAATAAATTATTGATTTGAGTAAACCTGATGTATTTTTCGAGTCTGTCTCCTACATTCCTGGCTGCTCAGATTCAACCTACCACAACCTTGGTTTTCAAGTCATGGTTTGGTTCATTTCTGTACAGTGAGAGAAAGAAAATACAAATCATAAAACTGCTTATTATGATCTTGGGTAAACATCAATAGTTTTTTTTTAATTAAATGTTAAATGGAACAAATAAAATATATACAAATGCATTTTGACATCAAATAGAATACTGCTGCAAATTACTGCTAATATCAAAGGATGTTTAATTGATGAAGGGAGGAAGCAGTGTTTGTACTTGCGGTAGTGACATTCACCTTCACATGGTGCTGTTAAAAATAAGTTAGCAAGGTTGACCTGTTGCCAAAACGTACCCAATTAGCACTGAACGAACATATTAAGTGGCAGACTGGAGAATAATAATCAGTAAACAAATAAAATGTCTTATTCACTTGTCTTTGTTCAAGTGTTCTCAAACAGGAGACCTTGATCATAAGGGAAGGTCTTTTCACTCTGACTTCTTGTTTGCACAGGCTGTGACTTTTGCTAGTCAGAGGCTATTCTAGGCTAAACTAAAGGTGAATCCCAATTCCCCTAATTTTATCCACGCTTCCCCCACTTGTACCTTTTTCCTTACATTCTAGTCCCACTCATGAGGCTCTGTTCAGAGAGCCCTATCCAAGATTAAATATTTAAGATTATTATACTTTCACAGTGGCCTTTGGTGAATAATGTAATACATATTTGAAGTTTAACATTTTTCTTATTTATTGGCAATTTTTAAACCACTCACTTTTGGGCTCCAATATATACAGGTGTAGTGGTGAAGCAAGAGTCACATCCCAGGAACAAGAAGTGAATTCAGTACTAACCTTTGTCATTGTTGGCATTGTTGTTTGTTTGTTTGTTTTTTATTATAAATGGACAAAACAACCATGGCTCAATTTAACAAAGACACAACTTTCCACCATGAATGGCTTTTTCCAAATATAAAACATTTAACTCTGAAATAATGCATGCTGGGAAGTACAGCGTACCTGTTTTGTTTCTTTAACAATTTTATTTAGTCAAGTCGAGTGAACTGTCAGGAGTTCTGGCAGCGCTGTGGGTCTTTAAAATACATTGGAAACTGGAGACATTCTTTGTAGTGAGACGGTCCCTTTAAGGATGGACTGGCTCATCCCTGTGGACTGGAGCAGACAGCGGCGGTCGCCGTGCGCCCTCCCGTTCATAACGGCACGGACCCGGAAACATAACTGTGGAAGTCGCTTGACCGCTTGAATTGTCGATAGTATTTTTACCTGCTTTTAGGTGAAACGTTTCTAAAGAGGGCTGTGAAGGAATCCGCGAGCGAGGAGAGGAGCGGCAGACGGAGGAGCGAGGGCGGAGGACGAAGGAGCGACAGCCAGGTCTACTGGACACCCAGGCGTCCGCACAATCCTGCTTCGGCTGCAGACACGTTTTCTCGCATTCACGCTCCCAATACAACGAAACACGGACTACTTTCTACAGCTGGGCTTTTGGCTTTCCTGCAGAGTTCACCATGGCCTGGATGAAGGAAGAGTGAAACTCAAGGAGCCGGAGGAAATCCTCGTCCTTTTGGAAAAGTAACGCTAACATCTGGAACGAAAGAGCGTGCGTGTTTAAAGCCAGGAGCCAGGGAGAGAGTTTGCACCAGCAAAATGTCTGTCCCTGTAAGTATGTCAGCCCGGAGGCCTTGGGAATACTTTTACAGTTTGTCTGCGTTTTCTGCCCCTCAGATGTTTCTCATTCCATTTAGAGCCGGTTCTTCCCACGTAGACAGGACGAAACATGTTGACAGCTCACACCCAGTTCTGTTACACGAAGCAGCACTTCGACTAAATGTAACTTCCAGACCTATTTGCATATTTGTTCCTGAATTATCCTTAATGTAAGCCGATTCTAAAATGTACATCAGCCTAACGTTATATCGGAATAACGCGCTACTCATGGTTTATTGTCACCACGTCGAATTTGCTGGAAGAATCAACTGACTGATAAGATTAAGTGCAGGTTAGTGCTAAGTGTCTGTGCACAGCCTTGCTCATAAAGAGGCAATCTGGCAATTTAGTCCAGTGTAATCCTCTGCTTTTAGAGCACACAGTGGGTCTGTACTGCCGTGGCTATTCTCAGCAGGACTGGCCTGTCACCATATTTAGACAGCTGATGTTACTGTGTGTGTGTGTGTGTGTGTGTGTGTGTGTGTGTGTGTGTGTGTGTTCTAGGGATGGATTGATGTCGCTTCTGCACACAGCCTCAGGTGTCTTAGTGCAGACTGCTGCTGTTTGAAGTAATACTTGACTCCCTATGGGGTGGAATCCATAACATCTTTATTCCGTGCTTCCAGGTTCAACATAACACTTCCTGTTTATGTACACACATATTACGTATCGCAACATCCCGCCTGTTTACATAATCAGGTAAACATCTCAGAAGAAGACCATACACCAGTATACAACATAACATGTTCTGGAAACAATCAAGTTCCTTTTTTTTATGCAATACTGAAAAAAACAACCTGGTATATGCAGAAGTAACAACTCAAGTTTTAATTTTTCTCTTTTTTCTGCTTAATGGCTCATTCAGATTTACACATAGTCCCGGTATTGGATTGGCCTTCTTATGGTTTGTCCATACCTTGTGCGTGTTGGTGCTGTTGTTTCATGGTCAGTACTGTGTGTATTTGTGTCAAGAGGTTGAGTGGCTTGGTTTTCAGCTCTTGTCTTCATGGCTTTGTTTGACCTCATCTCTTTTGGGTGTGTTTGTGAATCACACTTTCTTCTGGATGTTTGGTGTGTGTGTTGTGTACATCTCACAAAGATGGCTCCTGTTTTGTCTTATTGTGTTGCCATTTGGTGTTTCAACCAAGTATCTTCTTGGCTCTTTGCATTTTTCCATGATAGTTCCTGGTTACCATGTTTTCCTCTCCTTGTCCAACACTCTTACACTTGGTCCACGAAACAGTGGGTGTAGGTCTCTGCCACTACATTGATCATGATGTTTTTTTCATGGCTGTTGTCCTTTTTTCCAGGTGTTGTCTGTGTTCCAGGTTCCCTGGGTCTGCATGGCTTGGTAGGAGTGTGGTGATGGGTCTGCCAAGGAGTAACTTGGCAGGGGATGGTAGATCACTGTCAATAGGTGTCGCTCGCACCTGCAACAAGGCTACTTGTACATCTCCTTTGTGTTGTATTGTTTTCTTGATGATGGATGATGGAGGATTTTATGTGTCTCACATGTCTTTCAATAAATCCATTGCTTTTTGGGTAATATGGTGAGCTTGTGGTGTGCTTTATACCCCAATCTTTCATGAATTTTGTGAAAGGTTGTCCTGTGTATTGTGGTCCATTATCTGTCATTATTTCATCTGGTCGACCAAATAGAGACATGTAACATTACATTTTTTGTGCAACAGCATGGCTGCTTACAGGAACGGGCATTTCATCAACCAGAGGATATTTGGAATATCTGCTCACAGTGAGAAGGTATTGACATCCATGTACCTTAAACAGATCCGATGCCAGAAACTGTCATGATTTTGTCGGTGTTTTGTGTGGAATGAGTGGTTCCTTTGGCTGTGCGGCCTTATACTCAGCACAGGGGGGGCAGGAGGGATTTGCACATGTTTTCAATGTCCGTGTTTATCTTTGTCCAATACACACTCTCTCTGGCCAATCTACGTGTTTTTTTTAATGCCTTGGTGGCCCGCATGGAGTTGGGTCAGAATGTCCGAGGACATACATTCCGGAATAAGGACTTGTCTGCCTTTGAATACAACTCCTGCTTCTATGGCAAGTTCGTCTCGGAAGGACCAATAGCTCCATAGATTGTTTGGCAGGTGCTGTATCTTTTCTAGCCAGCCCTGCTGGATGATTTCCTTTAATGCACTGAGCTTGGGGTCCTTCGCGGTCTCAGTCCTGAGAGCTTCCTGTTTATGTAGTGAGAAGTTTACAATTGTAATGGTGTGATGCTCACTGTCTTCAAATTCAGCATCTAGTCCATCAATGCGTTCATCCAGTTCGATGTGTCCATTGTTTTCGGGGTTTGGCAAGCGGCTGAGAGTGTCTGCAAGAAACATTTGGTTTCCAGGGCGTTACACGATGCTGTAGCTGTATCCCTGTGTTTTGATCAGCATCCTTTGCAGTCTGGGGATGGGGGCAGCGTGTAGAGGCTTTGCACATATGGCCACAAGAGGTTTGTGGTCAGTTACAACATGGAATAATTTGCCATACAAGTATGTGTGGTATCGCTGCATGCCATAAACAATAGCAAGCATTTCTCTTTCAATGTTGCTGTATCTTGACTGGCATTCGGTTAATGTTTGGATCCAAAGGCGATTGGTATGTCATCTTGCACCAGTGCTAGTCATTATAATGTAGCCGTATCACGCCTACAACACTGCCCCTGCAACCACACAGCCCTGTGTGTTAAAACACACAATGCTCTGCAGGCTTCATGTGAATCCTACAGAGTAAATGAGTGACCGTGTATGAAAAGAAAGCCACACCAGTAAATTTCACTTTGGCGCTGCTAGCCGCACTGAAAATCGTCACAGCAGAAGCAAACGCAAAAGTCGAGCCAATTTCGGCCAGCAATCGGGCGAAGGCGGGGTACACCCTGGACAGGTCGCCAATCCATCGCAGGGCTAACATATAGACGAACAACCACACACACGCACTCCTATGGGCAATTTAGAGACACCAGTCAACCTAAGCTGCATGTCTTTGGACTGTGGGGGGAAGCCGGAGTACCTGGAGAGAACCCACGCAAGCACGGGGAGAACATACAAACACCACACAGAAAGGTCCCGAACGCGGAACCTTCTCGCTGTGAGGCAACGGTGCTAACCACTGCGCCATCATGCTGCCCCAACATAGTTGTCACTTATAATATGGGATAGTTTGTTATGATGAATAAAATGCTCAGTCCTGTAGTGGATCAATACGTGGATGGGTGAATTTGTAAAGCGTTTTGTCCAGGCAAGGTAGAAAAGCGCTGTGTAAGTGGAGTCAATTTACCATGTGTGTATTGTACTTAGTGTTTCCAGACACATCTTTAGTTGATTACCACTAGCAAAAGGGCTTCCATAAAACTCAGACGTGACAAGGAATGTGAAGAGGAAGACACCTGCTGAGAAGCTGTGGTGCCTGTACCATGGTAATACTTCTATGGTGCCAAGGGTCAGAAGAGTTGGAAGACATGGCTGCATGCATCAGCCAGAACTGTGCGATCCAGTGGTTCCACTTTAGCTGTGTGGGTCTTAATCATGCCCCTGTTACTGATGGCCCATGTTTTGTCCATCCTGTCAACTGTAGACACCCCCACACACACAGGCTCTGCACTGGATATTTTTCTGTACATAGTGTAATAGTTTTAGGTTTGTAGTTTATCTGGTTCCTGTAGTTTACCATGTTTACTTGAATCCTTTAAATCTTTACATTTACAAGCTACAGATAAAAAGACCAGACAGAAAAACATCTGAGTACTTTTAACAAAAATTTATTTTAAATATATCACAAAAGAGGTACACTTAGAAACAGTGGTAGAAATGAATGAATAATTTTTTTTAAATTACATGTCATGCTACATGCTAATTGGCCCATCCTACCTGGAATTATATGACACCCATATATCATAAAATAAGGTATTTCCTCAGTTTTTTCCAGTATAATACTCACAAACAACACATTCAATTTAGCAAACAATCAAAAGGACCTACTGCAGCATTTACAATGTGCAGGGATCTTTACCTCTGTACAAGTCCAACACTGTCACTGATGTCAAAGTCAGGATCAGCCAGTACCAAATCACCAGGCAACAGCTTATCCAGAATCCCAGTTTTCAGTTATATGCTTATTACTGACACAACCTCCCTCTCCCTTAGAAATGAATGATATAGAGCCCTATGGTGTAACGCCAATAAGGTACTTCATGACTTTACAACATGTTTCCACAAACTGATGAGGCATAGTGACATCATCGGCCTCTTCTCAGAAGGCTTGCAAGCCTCAGCTCCACCTCCATCCTCTTGCAGTGGTGCTGGTGCTGCTTCTCTTGGTGTGGTGGCATCCACTGCAGTATTATCCATTGCCGGCGTACTCTCTGTCCTTCACAGTTTTCTATTTGCCCATCTGGCAAACCGTTCTGACTCTGAAGGCTTGATCTCACTGTGACCCGAGTGTAGAGATGGTGCCCAGTCTGTGATTCGTTCGTTTCATATGCTTGTTTACCTGACGACACAACCAACCCCTTGGGTTAATAAGTCTGGTATGAGTAAATGAAATATCATGCTGGCTAAAGCATAATGCATTTAAACACAATAATTCTCTGATCACATGTACAACTTCTCATGAAAGCTTCAGGGTGTGTTTGTGTGGGTGCAAGAGTGAAGGATGGAAATAGAAAGATGCACTTTGATTAACTTACCAGAATGAAAATGTAAGAAGCCCACTCTCATCGATGTCAAGATGTTGTTGAAGGAAATAGTTTTTCTTACAGCTGACACCCAAACCATTTGTTAACTCTGCAACATGGCTTCCCTCGTGCTGCTGCACATGGACACACAACAGAATCCTACCATAATTATGTATACGAATAATAATAATACTGGAAAAGAGCTAGCTGACTGCTAGCATGGATGAAGTATGGGTTGGCTACAGCAAAGCAGATCACATAGCATCCAACATGGTGACTTTCACAGAATGCACTGTGGTGTGATGTCACAATAACAAACCCTATACTTTCAAACCCTGCTGACAAATAGTGGCCATTTTGTGCAATGAGGCAGTTTACAATATTGAATGTTCCATTAAATGCAGTTTTAGTGTTTGTGTGTCTGGTTGTCTGTGTTTGTCAATGTTGCTTATGTTTAATGTGCTATATAAATACATCTTGATTTGATTCGATTCCTCTGACTGCAGTAAGTTGTATTTGAATCTTTTTTATCACCCACCTCTGGCTTTCCTTGCTTTCTCCTCTCCCAGTGCAGCCCTTCAGTGGCCACATAGTGTTTGAGGGAGGAGTTTAGTGTAATCAATTTGTGGCATGGCATTTTCTCTTTTTGTTTATATGTCAAAGTACTAAAATCATCAGACATGTTTAGAATAACTCTAACAAGGTCAGTAAGTGGTTTTCCTTTGTCACATTACGAAGCTTTGCCCTTTCCACTAAGTATAGTGTGTTGAAAGAGATTCAGGTTAAAACTATAGCTTGACATACTGATTGATACCGGTTTTCAAGGCCCATACCAGTTAAAAAAATCACCTCACAGCA